CCAGCATTTGTAAATGTAAACTACTGCATTATTTTTTTACTTCTTCTGAAGTCTAAGTGGTGCTTGCCTGTGCAAGACTTGATGCCAGGATGTTAAGGTGTCCTGAATGTTTTTCAATGCACTGCTAGGGTGTTATGGGTGATTGCAAAGTGGCCCATATCAAAAGTATCCATGTGATATTGTGGTCTCTAGATATGACCTGGGACCCTAAGTTAATGTATGTATTTTTCTGCATTGACCAGATGAAATTTCGAGTCAAATCTCTTATTTGCAAATTATAATCCACTAATGCCAAGTATGAATTTTATAGTAAAATTGTTGTTTGAAATAAAGCCATTAATTAAAATTGTAATAAGTGATCACTATCTGAAAAATTGTTTAATTTTTATATTAAAGACAACTATTTGATATTTTAAAATACATCTATTTTCCACATTGTGAAGTCAAAAGAGTCTCAGACGAGCGTCAGATTTGTGGCATTGGACCTGCAGGCTGTTATTTCATAGGGATGTGATGATGTCACAGCTGCTGACAGATCAGGTGACATTAGTGATGAAACAATGCTTAGTGAGGAACAGCGTCAGGGTTACAGATAACATCACCACAGCTTTATTTAGGTGGGAAAACATACCACTGCAAACCTACCAGACATATTTGTCTAGCATCAATACCTCAAGAGCGCAGGGATGGGTGGAAACATATATTGCAGTATGAGATATGGTTAGCTAAAATAGTCCTGTCTGTTGCCCTGATGTGGTTCAGTAAGCAGTTTTGGTAAATACATATACATTTGGTATACATTTCTGGTATTTACACATTATACCAGCCCTACTGCACGGTCTTTATGAGGTAAAATACAACTGAGACAAAAAAATAGCATCACTCACAAGGATTTGGAAGCCATAGTTCCTCTGAACTGGGAATTCGGTCACATCGTAGCACGTGGACAGATCGACCTCTCCGTCCAGATCAGCGGCCTGAGAAACAAGAGGGACATTGTTAAACAGTCACATGATCAAAAAAATGAGTTTAATGGCTGATGAAAACACGTACCTCCTCAGCGATGGAGTCGCGGTAGAACCTCAGGCTCTGATCGGTCAGAACAAACCAGTGTTTCTTCCACTGATAGACAGAAGCAGAACAAACCTTTTGAATAACCTCCATATTAAATATTCAAACATCACTGAAGCACAAGGACATCAATTCCTGGTTTGGAAAAGCTCTTTGAAGAAATCATTTTAGTCTCACCAATCCATCTTCGTACAGTTTGGTCATCCATCCTTTCTTAAAGTTCAGGAGGTCCGGCTGAAAAAAAAAAAGATGAAATTAATAAACTACCAACATTAACAAAAAAAAACAAAGTGCTGCAATAAATGTTTTTAAGCAGGGACTGTTTATTTAAAATAGATTAAATATTCAATTGAAAATGTTATTATTTTATTATGTATTTTAAAAATCTAATCCAGTTTGATGCTCATTCAATTCAATGCTATAATTCACTGGAAATTATTTACATTAAAAAAGTTATTGTGTTTCATAAATGAATCCAGATGAGTCTTGCTCCATATTTTTCAGATTTTTAAGTATATTTTGCCTTTTAAATACAATTTATCTTGTAGCCGGTTTATTTGGTTTAAGAATGAAAACTGTTTTTCCACATGCCAATAGAGAATTTTTTTCTGAACACAGCCCATCAGAAAAAAATTATCATATCTTGCCATATTTTGTCTGTAAGATTATCTACTTGCTATATAAAAAAGGGTTTGGGAAATGTTGTTTTACATTTTTTTGCATGCATTTAGCAACATATAAACACCTTTGAAAAAGACATTAAGAGTTAACATATCTTAAACAAACAATAATGTAACTCATTCATTAAATGTGCTAAAAATCAGTACAACATAACTAATATGGAAAAGAATAAAACTGTATATTCAAAAGAATCTGCATTCAAAGTTTGCCTCATAAAACCACCACCAAACACAGTCAGAAGGGTCCCGCACAAATACAGGCAGTGGTACCTCACAACGCTGTATACAAACTAATCTACAACCCCTCTACCATCTAATGCACGCGTTTAGAGCAGATCCAGTCGGGCTGAGATCACACCCACCGGCCGTTTGCTAGTTAGCCGTTAGGTTCACAGTACCTTAGTCTTGTTGAGTTTCATCTGTGACCTGTTCTTCACACGCTTCTTACTCACATGCCGTCTTTCTGTGTGTATGAACATGAATCTGTGTTCTCATGTGTGTGTGTTTGGGCATGTGTCGGTGTCTCTGGTCCTAACACTCTGAGCGAATGCTATTTATAATCGGGGGTGGTGTAGTGGTTCTGGGTTGGGTTTGCATGAACGAAGTACTAACAGCTGAAACACACAGACACTCTTAGACAGCCCTGCAGTCCCTTATAAATAATTATGTTGTCTTCTTAAGAGCAATTAACTATAGAAGCATATTTTATAAATACACTTTAGTTTATATGACACTTCCATACCTATTTTTATATATATATATATATTTTTTTTTTTAAATGTTGCATGTTGCATGAGGACTATGCAGTGCGATTTTTAATTTTGTATGTAATACAGTATAATTCTAACCAACAATGTAAAGGTGAACTATTTATTGTGAAAATCAGAGTTTTGCATCTTAATGAAATACAGCAACACAGAAAAGGAAAGCTGATCCAGATGTCAGATGGCCATGTAAGTCTTCGGTCATGCGCATCAGTCTTCAAAGGCCCCCTTTGGGACTTTTACAATGTAATGTACATTAAAATATTTCTGACTAAAATCATACATTAAATGAATTTAGAGGAACAAAAGACTACGACGATGATACTGAATGATGTGGCAGCATTTGAAAAGAAACTCGCCTTATTCTTAATGAAAAAAATGACATTTTCCTACATTCACAAAATGTACAATATTTTTTATTTGATTTATGTACTATGTTTTAATTCAATTAAAATGAACAATTTCTTTATTTAAAATAATAAATCAAAATTAAGAAATAAATAACTTTTATTTGATTTACTATATTTTTAATTCAATTATCCCTTAATATTCACCTACATAAAAGTTCAATTTTGTTGTTTATAATTTAATAAAATTTAAAAAATCTAAAATCCTAAATCTTGATACCTCTGTCATGCATCATAACCAGCGCTATTTGATATAATATATTATCGTATATACAATATTGCAATTAAAAATTGTGAATAACCTCAACACTGTCATAAATCAAACCGGAAATGTGGTTGGAAATTGTTTCTCACTGTTTTCCCTCTATTATGGTGTTAAAGCTCTCTTGATTGCCTCAGAATGGCTCAGTTTTAATAAATTACATTATGTAATTATAGCAATTAGTAGTGACAAATCACTTCTTTTTTATAATGCAGTGTCCTTTGTGAAGTGGAGCTAGCTAAGGATTTTAGTGTAAGGCTTTTCTCAACAGCGAGTATCTGAGATGTTAGCATGTCACTGATGTGTGGTTTTTGTTTAATATAAGAGCAGATGGTAGAGCAGAGGGACAGACACAGGAAACCAGCGACAACAGCCATGAGCAGAACCCCAGACAGCAATCAGTCTTTGCCCCTGTGTACACCCATGTGTTAGTAGGAATAATTCATCTTTTACACCCGTTTCACACCGAAACGAAGCAGCAGCATACAAGCGGTTTTCACAGCATTTCTGATGCACAACACTAAAATAATTAATTAAAATACTTAACTTCTTTATTTAAAATAGATAAATGAAGATCATTTTCTCTCACCCCTTCATATTTACCAACATAAGTTCCATTTTATTGTTTATAATTTTATTTTTAAATAAACCTCTGCTATGTATCATAACCATTAAAATACAATGCTATTTGATATAATACATTACCATAAATACAATACTGTAATTAAAAAAAAATCTTGTCATTAATAGCAATAAATTAATGTGCAATTTATGTTATTTGTGTGTTGCATATTTATTCGCTGAGAATCCTCTATTATGGTGTTAAAGCTCTCTTGATTGCCTCAGAATGGCTCAGTTTTAATAAATTACATTATGTAATTATAGCAATTAGTAGTGACAAATCACTTCTTTTTTATAATGCAGTGTCCTTTGTGAAGTGGAGCTAGCTAAGGATTTTAGTGTAAGGCTTTTCTCAACAGCGAGTATCTGAGATGTTAGCATGTCACTGATGTGTGGTTTTTGTTTAATATAAGAGCAGATGGTAGAGCAGAGGGACAGACACAGGAAACCAGCGACAACAGCCATGAGCAGAACCCCAGACAGCAATCAGTCTTTGCCCCTGTGTACACCCATGAGTTAGTAGGAATAATTCATCTTTTACACCCGTTTCACACCGAAACGAAGCAGCAGCATACAAGCGGTTTTCACAGCATTTCTGATGCACAACACTAAAATAATTAAAATACTTAACTTCTTTATTTAAAATAGATAAATGAAGATCATTTTCTCTCACCCCTTCATATTTACCAACATAAGTTCCATTTTATTGTTTATAATTTTATTTTTAAATAAACCTCTGCTATGTATCATAACCATTAAAATACAATGCTATTTGATATAATACATTACCATAAATACAATACTGTAATTTAAAAAAAATCTTGTCATTAATAGCAATAAATTAATGTGCAATTTATGTTAATTTGTGCGTTGCATATTTATTCGCTGAAAACTCTGAAATAAATTACTTAAATTAAATTACATTTTAAAATATATTCAAATAGAATACGTTTTTATTTATTTTTTTATAATATTCATAATATTACTGTTTTTACTGCATTTTTTAATCATATAAATGCAGCCTTGGTGAGCATAAGAGACTTCTTTAAAAAAACTGTGAAGTTTCACAATTTTATTAACGGAACTGTACTTATATAAAAACCTATTTTTTATACATTTAAAATATATTTATAAATATTATTCTTTTTCTATAATTATTATTATAATTATAAAATGTTTATTTGGAGGGGCCAGAGAATTATTATTATAAAAGTATCCTAAATCTAATTTACATAATCACATTTACATTTAAATGGTACAAATCTCAGCAAAATGGAACTTAAACCCCAAGGTCAGGCTATAAACTGCTAAATCATCTATGCATCACTGTGCTGCTTAGGTGGCCAAAATAAATATGTGCTGCTTGCGGTGTGAAAAAAGCCTTAGTTTTTATGTCTCTGATTCTGAGATGTGTGTGTGTGTGTGTGTTATAGTTTGGCCCCAGCAGGTGGAATGAAAGTAAGCAGTGGGCGTGTCAGTGGGCGTGGCAGGGCGCGCGGCACAGGGCAGGAAGTGCAGAGTTTCAGAAGAATCCCTGAAAAAAGAGAAGAAACAGATCAAATAAAAAGCAAAAACAGAGCATGAGAGAGAGAGAGAAAAAAATGAGAGGAAAACAGTGCAGAACATTTTAATCACAGACACAGAACTGAACGGCACAGCATTCAGGACTGCATTGAGATTCCAACAAAATGGAAGAGAGATTAGACTGAAAGTTCAGTTCTACACAGTGTTCACTAGGTGGCGCTAAAGCTGCAAGAATGAGATGAATGTCATGATTCTGGGTGCTAAAGGCACAGCATTAGCTTAGACAGTTAGCAGCGCATCCTCCCTGCTTCTCAGTTTCTGAACTTGCTGGTCCTGAGTGTCACTGACAGCTTTTTCCTGCCGGCTCCAGCAGGTGGAGATATAACCTTCATGCTCGCTCTGAGACGTAAACACAGCAGGTGTGTTGGCTCGGATTGAACCGAGCAGATTGTGTTTATCTTTAGTTCCCTGTTCAGAACTGTCTCTCCTCAATTACAATCAGACTATGAACTAGGCTAATGAGGCTATAAAACATGAACGTCTCTTAACAAACACTTCATTTCGGCAATTTAAATGCATGTATATTTAAGTAGAATGTGTGTGTCATTGGCTCTGGTACAAACTCTAATGACTTATCTACCTAGACAGCATTTTTAGGCATCATAAGCACAGTACCAATAATAGATACAGTATCCTTTCGCATAAATTAAATTATATGATGATTATACACTTTAACGCCACTGAAAAATACAGATGGACTCTAAACACAACTTCACCACATATTTGGGTGTGCTGCGTATTTTTGTGCCAATTAGAGCATCAAGTAATTAACTTAACTACATGTTAATAACACAATTAATTTCTTCCTCATTTCTTCTATTGGAATACACAGAGCAAAATAAAAAAATGTATTCAGAACGGATTAAAAAATACATGTCATTTAAAAATGAATGATTTAACCAAGTATTTGAGTAGACTATGCTATTAGTGGTAATTTTGCTATAATATTACTTGTTAATATTCATTTTATTTATTTTAATATTTAAAAATATCATTGATATTAGTATGAAATATTGATATTATTATTTAAAAATATTATTGATGATAATATTATTAATGTTATTCGTTAATGATATTAATGTCTATTATTAACCCTGTAAAGCCTATAATATAAAAAAAAATTAATGGAACAGTTAATTGAACCTTTAAAAAAAAACTAAAAAAAATACAAGTGTGCATACGTGTTTATATATTTGATAGATCAAGCTTTTATGGCTCATATAGTAGGATATAAAAGAAAATGGAGCAAAAAACACCTGGATTTTATTCAGAAGTCCAAACTGAATAAACGTGCAATTTGGTGCAGTATATCATGTTGATCATTTAGAAGCCTTTGAAATTTGTGTCTCAAATGATACAGGAGGCTTAGAATACCAGGCTACTGGAATCAACTGAACGTCTTTTAAGTGCTGTTTAAAGGCCGGGACACACCAAGCCAATTGGTCAGCCGTCGGTGAGCGTCTGTAAGGCTAGTTTGTTTGGTGTGTTCCACTCGTCGGGCTCACGTTGGCGGTAGTTTGCCCAATTCAACATGTTGAATCGGCGTCGGGGCGAGTGAGAACTCTGATTGGATGTTCAGTTTAGTGAAGGAGTCAGTGCCCGAGAATTAAAACAAAAGTGATGAAAACTAGCAAGTAAACAGAACAGACAGAAGGCTGTTCTAATGTTCTTACGTGATCATTCCAATATGTGAATATTTTCATAACAACATGAGGTGCTTAAAATGAAGAAAGTTATCAACATAACAGATATTCAAAATGTTGAGCAAGCGGTGCTTTGTTTACGTTTCGTCTATCTGTGTATATCTCGTATATCCTAGTTTCGGGTTCTCCTTTTTGAATGACGAATATTTACTATTGATAGCTGCTAATATAGACAGCCAATTCCTCTCACGCAGGCGCAGAACGCACGTTTTAGTTTGCAGTTCTTTGTATCTAGTTAGTATCTAGTTCTTAATGTATCTAGTTCTTTGAAGTCGGTCTGGTGTGTCCCAGCCATAAGCGTGCCAATTACAAGAGCTGTCACCCATGTAGAGTTTTTCAAATCAAATAAAGATGCTGTCTAAGAAGATAGGGTTTGAAACAGAGCCTTTGCGTGTGAATGTAACCAGGTCATCACCTTCGTTCACGTCCGAACAGCCGTTCCACTTCCTCCCTGCCCGGGCTCCTCGTGCGTGCTCGCAGCTCCTGCCGTTTCTGACTGGATCGGTACGCATCCCGGTGACTGAGTCTCCGCGCCCGGGGCACATCCGCCAGGGCGGCGTAACCCTGCCCACCTCGCCCCGCCCTGCCCACACGGCTCTCCGGACTCTGCTCAGAGTCTAAAGAGCTCTGAGAGGAAGACAGGGACGATGGGAGGACGTTTGCATGCGAGTTTGGACTGGAGAGCCGGTCTGGGCTGGGAAGGGGACAGAGAGTTGCATCCGACGAGGGCGGGGAATCCAGCGCTAGAACGTGCTCCTCTGATTTGCTGGGTCTCTGTGCGTTGTGTTTGTGAGCACAGGCGTTATGTGCAATGCCGTAAGTCTGTGTGCTAGCAGCGCTGTGTGGGTCATGTGACGTGTGTTTGTGTGAGCTGATTGGAGAGCTGAAGAGCTCGTGATCAAAGGAGAGATACCTGGAGCGAGAGGAAGAGGAGGAAGAAAGCAGATGCTGCTGTGGTGGTGGCGAAGGCTCTTGCTCCTGCTGGCGATGATGCTGTCGTTCTTCGTCTTCTTCAGGTTTGGATTTTTCCAGCGAAAAATATCCACTCTCCACCCGTGGCTTACGACCAACACTTGCGTTTCCTGAATCTGAGCACGAGAAAGAATGAAAAATCACAGTCGGTACCTTGTTTCACAATTTGAGTTGAATTACTGAAATAAATGAACTTTTCCACGACATTCTAATTTATTGAGATGCACCTGTACACCATGGTAACATTACAGCTGCCAAAATACCTAGTTACTACTGCAAAATCATACTAAATGAATCTGGGATCTCTTTCAAACCAGTGTAAGACGTTTTCAAAATCTGTCATTTAGTTTAATAACAAGACTGGTGACAAACAGCAGGTTACCGCAATTTTATTGAGGTAACAATCACTGTAGTATTTTGTCGGAAATGTTGGTTACTGTGGTTTTTGTGAGGGCAGTGAGCAAATGTAATTAAATGTTCTTTTCGTTTAATGTGTTTACCCAGAAATCTGAGGTCAAGTGATCAAGTGGACATTTGGCCAAGATCAAAAAGCCAGTTTTTCTGGTGATGTAAATCACTTTTATAATCACATGTATTGAACATGGCATGTGACGCCGCAGATTTTATGAAGAAAATATGACCAAAACTTAACACCACAACAAAATGCAACAGTGTCTGCCCACCTTTTCAGAGGCCTTGGTTCAAGAAGCATTTTTCTCATTCATTTCTCCCATAGGGTTTTTTGTAAAACTCTTTGTTTAAGAGTTATAAGCCATGAACAGAACCAACTAGCCATAAATCACAACAGTACAAACTTTGATTTGAAGCCCAAAAAAAAGTACTGGATAAAATGGCACAAGAATGTGAACTTTAATCAGGGAAAGAACTACAATCCCATGAGGCACTGTGAATGACAATCGATAGATAAATGTAAAACATGTTGATTGTGTATTTAGAAAACATATTTTACATTTATTGCAAAATATGCACATATATATATATACAAATATTTAAGTAGACTGATTATGCAATTTGCAGGGAGTGGACTGGTGCTTAAGAGTTTTTTTTCCGGTGCATTTTCCTTGTTTTAATTCTCTGATTGGTGGCAGAATCATGGGTAATGCACTTTTACACTAGGAATTTTGCTGTTTAACATGATTATTTAAATAATGCAGACTGATGTCTTCAACAAACAACAAACTTTTAGCTCACAGTGGGTCTGTCTTTAAAGGTTTATAAAGTTACATATCAATTCTCCTATAGAGAAAATGAATGGGATTTTTACTTTTGGAACTTGACTGTTGCACTGTATGCTACAGTGTTGTGGGTGGTTGCTATGAAGTCGCTAAGGTGTGGCGAGTGGCTGTTTGAACACGCATACTTGAGTGTATAGAATGTTTCCGTTCTAATTTTCACATTTACATTTAAAATGTATTTTGTGGATTTCAAAATTGTGTCGGCTTAATGTTTGGCAGCCAGGTTCACACAGCATGTCATAACCTTGTTTTTGTTAGTTTCTAATGAATTCTGAGTGTTGGTACCCAGCTGACTCAGGCTGCCGGTGCTGCAGCTTGTGGGTAAAGTGGCTCGACTCCATGTTTCCTCCTGCCACAGGGTGGCCCTGGTGGATGGCACTCGCTCTGCTTGAGCTATAGTGCTGGGGAGACACACCATACTGCTGCTGCTGCTGGTACTGGTGACCGTCACCTTCGCAGGACCTGGTTCCTGAACACAGAGAGAAAGAAAGAGAGAGACATACAGACAAGCATAATATTTAACTAACCCGTACTCAAGAACAAAGAGCTCTTTGATGTCAAAAACACCTGTGTATGTGTGTGTGCAGACAGATACACACACGAATGTAACTGTCTAAACTTGCAGGCTGATAACAAATGAGCTATTGTGCCATGATTTCATACACACGCTGATTTACTCTCAGCACCACACCCCACACTAAACACACACTCGCAGATTAGAGTCTGTGTCTTTCCTGTTTCCACCTGACCGCCCAGTAATACCTTTTTGATTAAATCATAAAGTCACTCAGCGCATTTTTCTGCATGAAACCAAACACGCACACGCCTGCGTGAGCCACCCAGCATCCCAGCAGAAGCACACACATGAGAATCATTTACTGGACAAATTACGATGAGGTTCAAATTCCTGCCAATCAGTTGATCTCCAAAAACACCCGGAATTCATGTATTGATCAGATCCTGTGCTGCACTCTGACTGGTTGGATCATGCTGGTTCTGGACTTACAATAAACCCATTGATGTTCTGCTGGGAACAACGACCTGTTAGCAGATCAGCAGCCTGACAAAACACAGGTCATGAGGTCAGATCAGAGTAAACCAATCCTAACGATAAAAACATTGTCCGTTTAAAACACTTCATTAATGTATTAATTAGAGGACTGAGCAATAAAATAAACAATAACCAAAAAAAGACAAAATATTGTTAGAAAAAATGGCTGAGAAAAAATAAAATGTAAAAAATAATAATAATAATAATAATAAAAATTTCAAAGAATATCATAAATGTTTTTTGTCAAATGTCAATGCAACAGAGAGCGGCGCGGGACAACACTTGATGGGCGAGTGCGGGTGCAGGCAGGTAGAGACTCGTGTGTGCGGGATGCGGGAGAATAAGGGTGTACTCACACTATGCTAACTTAACTGTGCCCGAGCGCGTTTGACCCCCAAAGCCCGGTTCGTTTGACTCGGGAGTGGTTAGTTTAGCCGTCCCTGGCTCGGTTGGAAGAGGTGGCCTAGAGCGCGGTTCAGCTGGGCCTGCAGTCTTAGGCCCTCCACAAATGCTCTCATTGGTTGAGATGCGTCATGACACCCATCCCAAGCAAGTACTGATCAACATCCCACCCCTCCTGTGACCCCTGGCTTGTCTGTATGTGAATTCAGTGCCAGTGAGCAATGGGTTTTCATAATAATAATAATAATAATAAAAAACTGTTAATGCGCAATAAAATAATTGTCGACGTTAATTAATTAATGCATTAACGCGATAACGTGTTAACTTGCCCAGCCCTAAAAATAATACAAACTTGGACATATTTATATTTTTTAAATATTCAAGAATATAAAATGGTCATAAAATATATTAATCAAAAATAGTATAAAATATATTTATATATAAATATGAGTTAAAAGCTTGTTTGTTCTAAAAAATTATTTAAATCAAAACCTATAATATAGCTAGAAAAAAAAAAGTAAAAAAAAAAATGTATTTATATATATATAGTATATAGAGAAATTGATAGGATAAACGTTTCCCCTAATTTGTGTACTGGTTTTCCAAGCAGACCTATGTCACTAAATCCTGCTTGGTAGAACAAAACACTAGCCAATAAACCATCTTATCTAAGGACTAGAAATAAGGGTTTTTCTGAGCTACCTGTGCATGAAGATGAAGAAACACCTTCAGATTCCAGAGTAAATTATTTTTGCAGTCATTCACCAAAATGCAGTACTTTGCGAGGTTTTGCATGTAAGTGTGTATGTGCGTGTAAGTTTGTAATTGTAGTTCAAGAATAAAGACAAATCTCATGCTTTGCACGGCAAAACTCAAACACACATCAGTTACATCCAGACGAGGACGCTGATTCCAAACTCTAATAGATGGAACAGTAATTCTGGTCTAGTGCTGGTTTAGCTGGAGGACTAACAAAACCATACAGTTCACCAGGACAAATTAGCCAGTGATTTACTGATGAAAATGCTTGCTGGTTAAGCTAGTTAAAGCTAAAACTGAAACTTTTAAACTGATTTTAAGTGACTAAATGATTAATCTGGGGGTGAAATTGTTCTTTTAAAACCTCTCGAGTTGGTGGATCTGTATATACGTGTACCTGTGGCGTTGGGGTTTCCACTTTCCGTTTCTTCTTCTGGTTTTGTTTGTTGGTTCGTGGGAACACCATCAGTGCCTCCTGCCACCTTAAGACACAAACAAACGCTTGGGAATTATTTCAAAACACCAATTAGTTAGTAATTGCTTATCTAATTATATTGTCTGTAATGAGTGTATTTCAATAATTACAATCAGTGAGTGATCACATTAGTCATTAATTCACTTATTATGTCTAAAACCAAACCCATATCAAGCTTTACCGGATGAACAAAGGAGATAAACACAAATTGTCCTTTCAATTAGGATCATGACGTTAATAAAATAAAAACTAGTAAATGCTAGTTTTGACATCTCATATTTAACTAATATTTTGCTGTTATATTCTTAACTGTAAGCCTTATAAATTAATCCATTACGCAGCAAAATAGCAAGTCCTTACATCAAGCAAGTGATACTGATGGCTCAATGACAAATTGCTTGTGATATTCCACATTTGTAAGTCACTTTGGATAAAAGCGTCTGCTAAATGAGTAAATGTTAATGATTAAATGCATCTAAGTAACAATAAAATCTCCAATAGTTCAAAGCGAGAATGTGCATGCAGAAATGAAAGGGACCCGTAAAACATAAATAAAACATAATTAATTGTGGGATGTTAAATGTAAATTTTTGTCCCTCAGAAGTTCATCACATCAATACCGTATCGTGTTAAACTGCACATAAACATTAGAGAGTTGTAAAAATATCTTATGATAAACTGTGGGATATGAATGAATGATTCCTCATGTGTGTGTGACTCACCCATGTATGATCTCTTTGCTCTCAGCACGTATGTAATGGTCTTTGTCCGGTGTGCAGATGCACAGCGAGTGTTTCTGCCCCGTCCGGCTCTCACCGTCCACAACATCCACACACTGATTCAGGTTTATGGTGCCCTGTGGAAGAGTGCTGGCCTGAAACACACACACACACACGAGTAGATCCATCAACACAAAATTATGAGTTTTAAGCATTGATAATAATCATAAATGTTTCTTAAGCAGCTTATCAGAATGATTTCTAAAGGACCGTGTGACACTGAAGACTGGAGTAATGATGCTAAAAATCCAGCTTTGATCACAGAAATAAATTACATTTTAAAATATATTCAAATAGAAAATGGTTCTTTTAAATTGTAATAATATTTCACCATTTTTCTGTATTTTTAATCAAATAAATGCAGCCTTAGTGAGCGTTCAAAAACATTAAAGCTGACTTTTGAACTGCAGTTCAAACTAAATATATTCAATCACGTGTGTTATGTCTGATTTTAATCACCAAGTATGTCTAAATAAATATTGTCATGAATAATGTTTTGTACAAAAAGCCTCAACAACGACAAAATCTCCAATTCATCATTTGACAAAGTCAGACAAGATGTGTGTTTACTTGGGTTTAGTTTGAGGAATGATTAATGAATTACATTTAAAAAGAGAGCATATTCGTTTAGAATTATGGTTAGGTTAAATCTTATTATAATTGGCTTAATAGCAAATCAACAGAATTCTATGCTACGTGCTCATTTAGGTAGCTAAGTAAACGTGTGTTTGTGTAAACGTGCGGCACATGACCTCCCTCAAACACACACCACAAAAACACCACAAACTGGTTCATTCTCCCTGTATTTCTGTCATTCCCTGACGAACCTCCTCCGACAATCTCATCCAAGTTTCTCTCTCACCGTCTTTCACAACATCTCTCGATATTTTACTTCCTGTTCATGACGAGTTGCAAAATTCCTTCTTTGTTGTGCAGTCAGCATACACACACACACACACACAATAACTCTTTCAACAGGAAAGACTGACACACAGAAACAGTGACCAAGCAACACACACATACTCATCAGAAATTTGGAAAGACGAACAACACAAAACCCTGAAAAAAACAGGCGTTTTCTTTTCCAAAGTTGAGTTTCCAGCTTCCTTTTAATCGCTTGTTTACCGTGTTTCACTTCGGTGCCGCTGTTGAACGAGTTTGTTTGTTTTAATACCACTGATGACACCATGTCGACACGTCTGAGTGATGACAGCGGAGGTGCAGATAAGGCTGCCGAGTCATCATGGGAGAAATTCAAGTTCCCTAAAAGAGACATCATCCATTTTTAAAAGACGGTGGGGGGTTTTAGTCCCTGTAATCATCCCAGCAGCGTTCACTCACAGCCAGAAAAACCTCTTAACATGTGGCCTAACCAAACCTAACATCTATCAGCTGCTTGCTTTCTGGTTTTCAGAGTGAAATCAACTGCTTCATGTATTTACATATTTATCATGACATATGTTCAGATTGAGCATTTTCATTTATTATTCTAAAATACTCTTCACAACATACATTGAACTGTTTATCTTCAAAGTCAACAACAACATTTTATTACAGACTGATTTGTTTTCTGTGAATCATATTTGCAGATCAAAGTTCCTCGAGCTCAAATATTGTGTTTGACTTCTGCCCTCTATTTACTGCCAGACTAGTTCCATATAACTAACCAGCACTGAACTCGTTCATCCACAACCTGTGCTCATTTTGGTCCTACATAATAAAAAATTTAAAAAAAGAGAGAGAGGGGGAAAAAAAAAAGTGACATTTAGATCTGAAACCGCATTTGAAAGTATATGTGGTCCTGGAGTTTAACAAATTAATTTAAAAATATACATATTCTATGTAGTCCATTAATAAGTTCATTAAAACTTCATGTTTAATGATCATACAAGAGTTTTTAAATTAATTTTAAATTATCAGAAAAGGTTCAATAAAGTATTGTCTTTTGTTGTTATGGGCGCGTCTACAGATTTCTTGCCATATGTCTATGTTTCTTGCATCTCACGACTATGTTGTGTATGAAATAATCTCTGTGTGCATGTGTGTAAAACAACAAACTGATGAGTTATATATAATAATTTGTAATTGTATATACATTGTTGTGATTAATTGTGGCTGGAACAATAATGTAGCTGTAAAAATAGTTGCCTGCTGAAATTGAAATGTATATACATCTTCATCATGACTAGATAGACACGGTGAGATGTGTTACTATACACGTTAGATGTGATCCACCTCATAGTAACAATCCTGTCAGATCGTCCATCCTTTGAGTGAGAGTGTAACATTACAGGTCGGCCGATCTGGTTTCGTGGTTAAAGTTAACCTTTTCGACATGTTTCCGTGTTGTTGTTGCTCAGCAATGGCATGGACGCGATGTTGTCTGGGGGTTTGGCAAAAGGAGAGTGGGACGGTGGGTGGTGCTCGGGGTGGTGACTGAAGGCGGTGACTGTGTAGTTCTGAAGTCAACTTTTTACGGAAGTCACAACGGTTCGTGAAAAATCACAGCTACTTTAAGCAGGCTGTGTGCATTTTACTGTGGAAACGTATATGGTAGTTAAATAGCCCCTAGACCTCATTTATCGTGAAAAAAGCCAGGAAATTTCAGTTTTGACAATATGGGCCCTTTAATAAGTACTAATGAACAGCCAATATTCTAGAAATATTAAAGCTAGTTAATAGTGAGAATTGATTTTTAAAATAAAGTGTTACATAAAGGTTATTAAATCATTTTAATGAATAATCTGCTTTTCATCAGCTTGCAAACCCCAGTTTGGAAATCTCTGATCTAAATGGTTAATAGACTAGGAAAAGAAAGACATACGAATGAAGTGGGAACATTGTGATGATGATAAATCTCATTAAAACTCCTCTAGTGCTGTTCTGCATCCCATTGGCTTTAAAGAAGTGCCTCTGGGAACGCTGCCCGACTGACTGAGCGTTTTAAGCAACACAAAGAGACTGCTGAATCTGTGTGAAACCCATGCCCACTGCTTTAACCCTCAACTGGCCCACAGGTCAGCATCAGGGGACGATTCTGGTGAACCGGGTCGCTGAGAGCATGCATTACAGCATGTACGTTCAATAACTGGCCGTTTTATCACAACACACGCATGCATTTATACACAGATGCAACTGGTCTGAAAATAGCAGCCAGGCTTCTGTTGTAATCTTCCTCCCATTCTGTTCTTTCCTCCTACACGTCTCTCTCTTTCTCGTGGCTCTAAGTCCAACGGGGGCGGACAGCAGAGGAAGAGGAAGGTGAATGAGACGATGATATAGGAAAGGCTGTCAACTGATTTTATAAATGCAGTTGAATTAATTATGTAACATGCTGATTAATTCATGAAATTACTGACAATTCATTGCATATATCAATATGGAAGCCACAAAATAATACTAAAGCACCATCCAAAATTTTTTCAATTGAATATCATGTTTCACATTATAAATTACAATTTAATTTTCACTTTAAAGTCCAATTAAAGGGGTCATATGATGCGATTTCAAGTTTTCCTTTCTCTTTGGAGTGTTACAAGCTGTTCGTGCATAGATAAGGTCCCTAAAGTTGCAAAGACTAAAGTCTCAAACACAAAGAGATATTCTTTATAAAAGTTAAGACTCGTTCACGCCCTCCTAAAACGCCTCGTTTAAACACCCCCCCACATATCTACGTCACTGTGTGGCAAGATTTGCATAACGCCACCCAAATCTTCACGCAAAGAAAGAAGGCGTAACTTTTATTCTCGCTGTAGTATTGTTGCTGCCGCCATGTCGTGGAGACGCTGTGTGTTTCGTTGTGAAAGCGAAACTACTTTGTTTGGTCTTCCAAAAGAGGACACGACTAGAAATCAGTGTTTAAGTTGTATTTACAACACTGTTCCAGAACAGTTTAACCCAAATATTCAGATGTGTGCAACGCATTTTATGGAGGACGAGGACTGTTTACTGATCCTGGGAGAGTAGACTACAATGCTGATAAATAATGCTGACTCACAGCCTGCAAGTATGCTTTCCTATTTAAAGAATTTGCCACTGACGATTCAAACGCGAGTTTTGATCAGTGTAGAGTAGCTCTTGTTGTTTATTGTTTCTCCGATCACAAATGCAGATATGGTTTTATGTTTACGCGGCGCGATGCAACGCAACATGTAAAAAGACAGTATAAGACATTATAATCAGTAATTATGTCCCCACTGGATGCAACAAATGCCTCGTTTATAATGGGTTTTCATGTTTTTGAATCATCACTCCGCCTGGACAGGGCATCATCACAATATGTTGAGGGGCGTAACATTTCTGTCACACGCTTGAGGTATTCGGCCAATCACAACGCACCTCGCTTTTTTAGAACGATGAGCTTTGTAAAAATCGACGCATTTCAGAACGGCGGGGCATAGAGGAGAAACAATAATGTACAGTATGTGGAAAATAATCTGTTTTTTTAACCTTAAACTGCATAAACACATTTCATTACACCAAATACACAAAATAATGTTCTTTTTTTAGCAACATCATATGACCCCTTTAAAATGTTTTTTTCTCTCGTGTTGTTGTATTTCCTGTTGAAATGTGAAAATCCATATATTGGGTCAGTTTACCAGAAAAGACCGTACATTTTACATGTTGAATGTTTATTTGGTAACACTTTACAATAAGGTTAACATTTGTTAACTACAGCAGTTAACATGAATAATACTTTTAAAGCATTTATTAATCTTACTTAAATGTACATTTAGACATTTACTAATACATCATTAAAATCATATATGTATCTGTTAATATTATTTAATGGAGCTCATCTAACATGAACTAACAATGAATAGTTGTATTTTTTTATTAAATAATGTTAACAAAGATTAATAAATACTGTAAGAAATGTGTTGCTCTTTGTTAGATAGTGATAGATAATGCATTAAGTAACTAATGGGACCTAAAGCGAAACTACTTTGTTTGGTCTTCCAAAAGAGGACACGACTAGAAATCAGTGGTTAAGTTGTATTTACAACACTGTTCCAGAACACTTCAACCCAAATATTCAGATGTGTGCAGCACATTTTATGGAGGACTGTTTCCTGATCCTGGGAGAGTAGAC